CCGTAAGTATTTCGCACCTCAAACCGCAGATCGTGTCCTGTTCGAAAAAGCCGGATTTGGCATCAGAAACCCGCAGTACGACGGCCTGATGGTACGACGCTCGGCAGTCTAAATTACACACATGTCACCAGGCGACTAATGTACCTTCTGGGAATGAGTAGATGAAGCTTATTCGATGCAATGCTTTTTAGTGCATCGCGCGCTTTTGCATGCCGTCTCTCGTTTTTCCTCGGAAAAAAGAACCATGAAAAGTGTTACATTAGTCAATCTTCGAGATCTATATCTTAACAGCCCATAAAAAATTTTAACTTTCATGAAGCGATTTGAATGTTCTTTCAACTCGCTTAAGTTTATTCTTGTCAAAAAAAAAAAAAAAAAACAATAAAAACCTAACATAAGAAGGTGAGATATTCTTATACTAAAATGTTTTGATTAAGATCGATGATACGTTACCTGGCTAGCTGATAAGTCAAATAGGTAAAACGTTTCTCTTTGTACAGGTGAGATGTCTGAAACGACGGCATATTGAAGGCATTCGTAGCGTATTTTGAAATGGAGATATAGTCTTCATATTATAATTGTTCGGACCTTTCTTGGCCTATTATAATTACCACTTGCGTAAACAACGAAATGGTGCATTGAGTTATGATTGGAGTTTATATCTCGAAAACTTGTTTCTTTTTTTTTTAGTCCTTAAATCGAGCCAGTTTCCATATGATATACCGGTTCCGTTTTAGTTTAGAAGATGGGATTCCTTCAGACCTGGCAAAAGTCTTCATTGAAGTAATGGCCAAGTTCCGCCGAGGCGGACTCATTAGTTCCGGTGTTTTACTCTGAGGCAGATAGGTTCTATCTAGCCGAGTTTTGGCATTAGTCTGTAACTATAGAGATTAATTTGAAGCGCTATTGAGTAAATTGAATAAAAGCAGAGCTTTTTTAAAGGGTACCTCGATTAGAAGCTTTGTGGATCACAGGCCGGCCTGTCGATCCGCTTTTCTTCCCGAAACAGTTTTAGCCCATTTGTGTTTCAAGCAATAACCCACTATTGCGTCAAGGTCCGCATACTCCGTTGTCACCTATTCGCTTATAAATTGTACGCCACTTACCCAGTTTTCTATTTGCAGGGTCTTATAGACTCGGAAAAGACCATCTACTTCCTTTGAAGACTAATCTAGTGAATCAATTCGAGGTGTGAGTCGCTAACGTAACATAATTATTTTTTGTGTGGCATTTTCTCGCTTTATTCATAATTATACTGAACACCAGTTAAGCTTAGGCTTCCATTCGTTTCACAGAACTGAAAGCATATAGGAGATTCATTTATATATGTATATAATGTAATCGGCCTTGGCATTGCTTTGGAATGAAACGAGGCATGTGGAAATATAGATACAGATTTTTTAGGCTAAGTACTGCACACAGGTGCCTTCAAATAAGAATAAAATTTTTTTTCGAGAGAGCTTATAAAAATAAAATTTGAAAAAATAAGGTTCGAGAACACCTGTGAGCCATTGTGTAGCAAAACAATTGAATCATGTATTGGCAAGGAGTACCATATACGGAGGGTGGAATAGGTTTAAGGTTTTAGACAAGTAACGGTTCTCGTAGCTGTAGAATTTATGCATTAGACATTGATGAGGTGAGGTTCTGATCAAGCAGTTAACACCAACATGGATTTGTCTAACTAATGATTCCCGTTTCGAACATGTCGAATAATGTCCCGAACAACTACGTTTAGCCAATCTCCGTGTAACAGTACAGGAGAGGATTGAAATGATCATTATTATTTTCAAATGCTTAAAAACTATTGAAGACCATGATTGCTAGTTGAATATTTTTAAATGAAATTGTTACATGTTATAAATTTAGTCCTGCACATAGGCTTCGACAGGGAAACTCATCTGCTTTTTTCTTTCACTGAGTCTATTATAGCCTTACTTCCATTGTTGAAGCAGGATAAATATCTGGAATAAACGAGCAGAAAAAATTGTAGCTGATTCCTTCTTCAAGGCTAGCCAATTTTAAGTCGTCAAGGCTTTTGCAAGTGTATAAGCTGTACGCTTGACGCTCGAGTCTCTCAGGATACCTGTGTACTTATCAACATGCTCGCTGCTTATTTTATTATTTATTTAAAATACTCGCTAGTATATACCTTCAGTGCCACCTGAAGCTAAAACCGGACGTCTCCAGTGAGCTACTCCGTTCTACCTAGAACTATATGTATTTCTTTGTTTTTTCAGCATGCTCATCGCATCATGTAGTGCTCCACTGATTTTATAGTTGATCCTACTGTGAAGCTCTATTCAGGTGGAGCCATATCACCATTCATGGCATGAGTGACTTCTGCGTGCGTTATTGCTGCCGGCGCCCGTAACGCCCTTGGCAAGGATCTCAGTTCTAACTAGCCTCTTCTTGAGCAGTTCTAACGTCATCTTTTAACAATGATATACCTCACGATACGATGAGACGGTTTCTTGGTTCTTCAACTTTCACCATCATCACTAATACAACCATTATCGGCCCATGCTTCACTGAGTCATGACTGCCTGCGTCCCACGGCGATTTCGTTACGTTGCTTTCTTTATTCAAAACACAGAAGCGTCGACCGGGTCATCGTCGCATAGCCGTCAGTTAACATACGAATCTCAGTAGTTATAACAGCGGGATCTAGATGGAACAGTGTAACAGGACTTGTAGGTTTTTCATTGTGGACATCGTTCCGTCTCTCTTTCTTGTTGGTTCTGTCTGCTGACCGCTGTCTGGCCAGTCATTCTTGAAGAACGCTGCTTATATATCAGATGTCTGTCTGCTAAAACGACCAATGATTGTCACCATCGTAATGTAAGAACTGCGATACCGTGATCGCGCACAACCTCTCCATTGAGCTCTACCGATTTTTCTTCAACGACATTGTTATCACTCACCGTAAACGGCACTAATACATATTAATGCTTTAGGCTAGCAAAAGCGGTTGTCGTCGTCGTCGTCGTAATAGTAGCAGTAGCTGTAGTAAAAATCATCTTGGTGAAGACGCAGAAATAATGCACCTAGATTGAAGCTAAACTTCGATTCGCCGTCAGGTTTCTTCATTGGTCCATCGCTCTTCATACACTACCTTCTCCCATCTCACAGCAACGTCGTGAAAGATCAATGAGTCACTATTGTTGATGCCAATGTGTGTATTTTATTCTAGCGGCTGAATAGTTGTGGAGCCTCGTCGAAGTTGTCGCGCCTTTCGTGGTGTATGAACCGCGTCATGATCCTCCGTCCCCAGTTCGAGAAACATTCGAATATCGCAGGTCGAATCTTGTAAAAATGATGGGCACTTAACCGGTCAAGCAGTTGCGAATTGGTCGCCACTTGGGTCAGAGCGCTGGTTTCGCAGGTAGGAGAACGAGTGCCCAAACAAAAGGATAAAGAGATCTAAGGGGTAATAGTTTTACTATTTCTACTACTTCCGCTGCTGGCGGCCCTACGGAGTCATGTAAATGGTATATTGAACTGGTGATGTTCGTTGTCGACCAATGCTCAGTTCTGATTTGTGCGTGACATTGTCGTTGTTGCCTGTTATTGTGTTGGGACTGACATCGTTGCCCCTGACGGAGTGGACGCTGTTGCATGTAACCCACGACAGCAACGACGATGATGATGATACGTATATGATAGACGCTTGTTTTTGGTAACTGATCGCATTTGATGTGTCTGAGCTGGCGGATGTGGTATAGGTCTTGATAGATTTGCGTAAAGGCCAATCTGCCGGTAAATAGGTAAATAAATGTTAGCTTGTAGCTCTAGAGCACTCAGGACGTAGCCAGCCAACCCAGCTCAGGTAGAAATGGGGCTGTCTAACAGGAAATTAGAGCTTACATTGAAAGCATTGACACAATCGAGTAAGACATCCTAGTCGTAGTTGGTTGTTGTTGTTGTTGTTGTTGTTGGCAGCGCAACAAGCCCTCCAGGAATGTATTTTACATTTTCCGGCATCAGTTAAAGCAGGGAAAAGATAGCACGATGTTGTCACTCCAAAATGACTAGTGGATATGGAATTGGTTCACTGGAAACCTAAAATAGCATGTGGATTTTATATTGCTTAGTTAATACTAGTCCTTTTCAGGATTGTTTCCCCTTTAGCCTATGGAAAAAACCAATGCTACAGATTAATTAGGACTATGCACTATTGCTTGTCTGATGGAAAACATCCATGCTCATACGGATCTGCCTACGTCTGTAAATACTTCTAGCAACAAACGTTCGCAGTCGCCGCAGCCGGCTCAAGTCACATGACGAGAATAGACTTAATAAATGAGTCATCTCCTGTAACCTATTATCACGCTCTAGATGTACACTCAGCAAGAGTTCACCTAGACTCACTTCTTATCCTATAATTCTGTACGTAAACGTAGCCTTATTGTGCATCCCAACCATACGAGACCGCTAGAAATCATCTAAAATTACATGACAGCCTTGGCTTTCTTCCACGAATACGGCCATTCCTTACCAGCCTAAGGTTATCTACCTTTTCATTTATCTAGTGACCCATTTAGAACTAGCAACAAATCACTCCGGCGGTTTAAATGGCGATGATACACTCACGTCTGAACTGACACCCCAGCGACGCGTCTGTGATTTCTTTATCGCTACGTTTCACGCGTACTCGCACGGCCAAGTGCGCCAGACGTCAAAATGTTCGGCTATAGGTGCTTATATCTTTGATATATAGACGTACGTCACTCAGCGCTAATCTCTCCAAAATACATGAAGATAAGACGTCCATTAATGAAGAGAATGAAAAAACAAACGCTAGTATTCCCATTGTAACAGGTTAGGATTCAGTCGGATGGGATGAGACCGTTAAGGCGACATGAGGAAATTTCGCTAGTGGAAAGAGACCAGCAGAAAACAAAACTAAGGTCCAAAAATGAATAATGATGTGATTATCATTTTCGCTATAAGGCGAGGCTTCATTCTGCTCATCATCTAACTGTCACTATTACCATTTAAGCGTCGCGTCCTATACGTTAGTCAGATTCACTGTTGTCCAATTTGGCGGTTATCATTGCGGGCTGAAAGATGGCCGTAATACATTCATCTCGCGTCAGAAAAATTTTTGACAAAAACAGTGTTGCCGTTGGCGTTAAGGCGTCCCACGATGTATTTGGAAGCCAGCAGACAAAAGGCTGCGAAACGAAACACAGGCTATTACGGGTCGTATCACTGGAAGGTTGATGCTTTAGAGAAGTATTTTCTTGATCCTTGTTTTTCTGAAGAGACTGATTACTGAAAGATAGAAACTGGCTATCAGAGTCTTTGTGTATAGGTGAAAGGGTTCAACAAATGACGAACCCTACTAAAAACACTCAACGACGTAAGGTGTACATAGCTGAACGTAACAAGTTTCTCGGAGAAAAATATTTCGGGCGTGTGTATATATATATATAGCCTACTTCTCAGCGTAAAGAGTAGTTCGTGTTTAGTGTTCAGAGGAAAGCTACTAATAGAGAGGCAGAGGATTTCCTTTGTTTACTTCGTCGTAGACGTGAAAGCCTCGTGAGGGTAAGTGGGCGAAGACAGATGACGGTATTCTTGTAATTGACGGCATCCTTCACTAAATGTAGACATTTATGTCAAAGAATGTCACACCTAGCCTAATTCAAAAGCGTGTGCTGGTGGGAAAAGTCGGCCTATTACGTGTAATATACATGTTACGTATTGCAGCCTCGTGTGTTCTGTTACGGGGCATAGTATGTGCTGCATAATCACTGCACAGAATATCGATAGCCACTGATATTGTGGCCGGGTGTCCAGTCAAAAAAAGGAGCGAGGTATCTAACCCAATCTTCCTGTAAAGGGCGTGGATAACAGTTTCACTCACTGATGAGTATACCTTTTAGGGTTGTTTGATTTCGATAAAATGTTGTGCATTTTACGAACACAACTACGTTAACGGTACGCTATTTTTTGGGGGCGCCCAGAGCTCCGTTCTTCAAACGATCCCTTAACGACACGATGCCGCAATCTTGAATCGAACTTTACTCACAAACTTAGAACGTTTCACTATGATTATCGATGTGTATGTAGTTGTACAAAAAATGCTTATTTATAGCCTACTAAATAGGATATTGTCTAGAGTCGTATTCCTAAACACATGTCGATATGCGTATGCATTTGGCAGATTTCTGTTCAAGTATAACTTCTCTGGTCCCTACCCTCCATCTATTTTAACTTCCATCCAAGTTCTCAGCGTGAAACATGCTGATACAATATTTCAGCAAATCGGACGCTCCAATCAAGCATTTGGCCTTCGCGACATATCACAACGATAAAAGTAATCTTCAGCTAATTTTTCCGCGCGTCCAAAATCCCTTCAAGAGCCGGCACGAAGTCGGGTGGGTGCCAGCTAATCAAACTAGGCTCATTTGCCGCCAGTTCTATTTTAGTTGCGAGCTGTCCCTTTGCGCGGCGATGATCGACCAGCATTTTTTTACCGTCGACTCCGTAAACGGTTCTCGTTTAGCTGAGGACTCCGACCGCCATCTGGAGCAGCGGTAGCGGCACAGCGAAGCTATACGCCCAAAGTAATAGTTGTGAATATTCACGATTCGGCGATAACAGATTCACTGATTTAAATTGACGAATGAAAGAACTGTTAGGCTAACACGATCCAAGTAAATGACTAGTGCGAGAGGAAAATCAGCCATTTTATCTTTCATCTTCTCAATGCTTCTTAATCTTCAGCGGCAACCACAGGCCAACGAGGAGTGGTAGCGACAACGAACCACGATGATAGGCTTTAACAGCGCATATTTAAGCATTACCTAGCTATGCACACATGGCTAGATGGGTCTATTCTCAGTCTGTAAAGGCATAAACGTCTGTTCGTAATTGGACAATCAATTTAGTTTTAAGCGAGACGAAAGGACGCTTTTAAAATCACTTACATCTGTCAGATTGGCTATATCTCGATGTTTAACTTGTATAGGCTATTCGTATATGGAAACTGGCTTTCAGGTCTTGCCTCGATACCTAGGCACGAGAAAAACAGATCTTCACGACTCGATACGTATGGACATCATGACGTTTACGCAAATTTAACGATTTCGCCATTTTCTATCTATGGTCACAATGCGTTAAGTTGTTGGATTTTACTACGTGTAATATACATTAACCTGTACAATGCCGACTAACTTTTTTCCAGTATTTCGCCAAATGTCTCATTATATTCAGCTGAAAGCAAGCAATTCTTCAAAATCAACGCCAACGAAATCAAGGCCATTGATTGCGTGGTAGGAGCACTCCAGGACCGGCCTCCAAACGACGGTAAAAATGGTGGCATTAAGCAAAGGACGATGTACTGTCGTTTTACGTTCGACTCAGTCGACCTGCGAATTGACTCAACACAGCCAGCTTGAGCCTTATTCAGACGTACGTATTTTATCTTCAGGGAGGATAGAGCAGAAGCGATCAATTTTTCAAACATCTTTCACCGTTAATTTCTATATACATACACGTACACCGATTTGTCCTGCTATTTCTGTGACGTTACTGTTGTCTGTATCATATACATGAGTAATATAAAATGGTGAATATAATTTTATGACAAAACAACATTGTACCCGAAATCGTCACAATTGGCGACATCTCGATATAAGATAATGTCACAATATTGATTGCGGTTATATTATAGCTTGGAACTGTTTGAGCAGTCACGATCTCATCCGGAACCGGCGGTGTCGTTTTCCGTCTATATGAGGGAGCGACGTAAGCACCTACCTACGCTGCACGCCAATATCGTTCCCATAGTCGTGAATGTAAAGAAGTTATATCTCGCATATGGTAGCAATGTTTCCCCCCATCTTCGTCTGGACACCTCTATACCTCAGGAGATTTCAGTGGTAGCAATAAACGAACGGCAGCTGGAGAATCATTGCTTGGTAAATGGGCCAAATTTCCAATCATGCAGAAGAAAAGCTCAATTCTTAACGACCAAGCAGCGTTTTCCGCGGCTGATGGAAAGAGTCTTTCTATGAAGATCTACAGCTACATCTAAAGTGACGGCCAGCTCGAGATCTATCAGCACAAATCTAAATTGACACGTCTTAGCGGTCAGCATCACCTGCAGTTATAACAGATTCACATATAGTACTATATATTTATGTGTATAGCTTGCGTGTAGACGATGACTTTATTTGCTATTAAGAAGCGTATCGTTCGCAGCGCTGAGCGCGAGCTAGAAAATAGTGATACCATCAACTGGAGCGTAGAATGAAAGAAACGTATTCTAGAATACGTTTCTTTCATTCTAAGGCCAAATGTAGGAGAGCTGGACGGAGAACTTTAGGGGCAGGCAAATGTGTTTGGTAATCGTGGCCAACTATAATCTGAAAGCTGCGGTACGCTTTGCACAAGCATCTAAAATGGAGAGAAAATTATGTTTGCAAGAAGTAACGTCGCCCTCGTTCAAAAATCGGACGTGTAAAATGATTATGGAGCATTTTTCTAGAGTTGGTGATTTCTCTTAGCCCCTTAGTAGTACTGGCTTGCGACAGATAATAAAACCTACATCAAAGTGGAGGATCGGGACATTGTGTATTTTCGCCTTATGGAACGCATTATGTAAATGCTAGTGTAGGGTAATGGTCAATATTTTAGCATAAACGTAGCTAGTGGGTGTACCCGTTCATAATCTTTCTTTATGTTATTACAAATCTGCATAAGTACACACACATATATTTTATGGTGCATTAAGCCTCAATAAGCAGTCAGGAAACTGGGTCTCAAGTTTTATATGGCAGTGTGGATTGTGACACGCCCTATGCTTTCGAACTTAGCCGTATAGCGACACCCCAAACTCGATAACAACCCCAACGATAAGATCCAATTGGACTCGTTTTTTCAACCGACCCTAACGAGACATTTCGTTCAAGGCATAAAAGAAGATCCCCCGCTTTACCGTAGCCAAATACATTGTTCGTCCTGTTTTTGCTGCTACTTATACAGCCGTATTATCAGCAATGGAGCCATTGGCTGGATCGCATTGCTATCTATCATATCGTAGTGATGTTACCCGGGTACACGGTCATCATTATTCTATAAAACAGTCACGATAACAGCACGACAGTTGTCTCGTACACATCCGATGAACCGCACAAAATCGAGTGTCAGCGACCACCGGCGATTCTATCTTCTGGTCAACGATTCTTCATCGGCTCCATCTTGCCAGTTTCGCGCTAACCGTAATACACATATACACATTCATCGCAGTTCGTTCTTCTCCTACGGCGGCACGACGGTCGCTACGTAATCTAAACCCGATCTGAGTTCCCTTTTCACACAGTCAATGTACCATGTTGTTCCCCATATGCGCGCATAGATATATTCCCGGCGCCGCATTTGCCGTTGCGGCTGCTACCGACGCAAATAGCCCGCTACGCCATACAATACGTGTGTGCCCGTTGTCAATGGAAAACCTCAATGTGGCTCTACTATGTCATCAAGGCAGCCGCTGCTGTCGTTATCACCTAATGCCATGATCTGCTGTACCAACCAACAGCCAGATCGGAACGAAGATATTATTATCACTTTGTTAGCTATGATTCTCTCGGAACTAAAATCAGTGCTGGTTCAACTGGCCATAGAATCTTAGGTTGTCAACGATGAAAAACACGACGTTGATGATGTGTTGATCAGTGGGTGATTGTTACGTCGCAAAGTCTACTAGTTTCTATAGAAGTCTGGTCTTCCATAGATGAGAACAGGACGCCGACCGAAGAACCGTATTCCGCTCGATAACTAGCAAACGAATATGGAGCATCAGCTGCGAATCACAGAGCAGAGGTCTAATTTTGACTAAGGGTAACACTGAGAACCTCGTTCTGTTATATTCTATTCTCCACTACCTAACAGGCCGATGCAATCATCGAACGAGCGAAGACGAAGGATCCTGCGAACGATGCAACAATACAATTCAATTTAATTGAAGCGTGCAGAACGGCATGAAATGCTATTATTAAATATTCTTGTTATAATTATAGTATATAGTAATTTTGTCAAGCCTAGTTCACTTTGTTCCGCTACTAAAAGGGATAAAGTAAGCGGTTGCTGTGGTTTTTCGTCGAATGAGCGCCCATATCAATAAACGTTAGCGGAAAGACTGTTTCGTTAACTCAGTTGCAACACTCTGGACCTTTTTTTAACCATATATTATAACAATTTTCCGCTCTCTCTTTCGCAAATAGCTTAGATCGCCGATCTTCAAAAAGAAGCATTGCGTCCTCCTGTATAATCTGCCTAGCCTAATTAGAAGAGGCGGTAGTAAGGAAGTAACTGAAGAGGTCTGAGAGCTTCAGATTTCTCTGCGACATAACAAATGTCCGTACTGTGTCAGCGGGATGAGTGAGCGCTCGTTTTTGTTTTCCGTGGTTACACTTTGCTTTTGTAACCGTGCAGTAGCAACTCGAGCTATGCACAACCCCTCAAGTGGGAACAAAGGCCAGCCGATTTAGACGGGCGCGTTCAAGCTAGCATCGTTAATATAAAACCGGCACTGACATCTTTCAGCCGTTAATCCGTTAGTGATGAGAACCGAAAACTGTTTTCCTACCCTGCTTTCTTCCTCTTTCCCTCCTACCTCGATGTGCGTACAATTAAGCAATGAACATTTTTCGTTTAATACCCTGCTCGCATAGTGGACCTGCCGCCACCCCTGCCTCTGATTAGCTAGTGTTAATTGTTCAAGCTCTGTTTTTCTAGCGTTAATTCGTCCAGCGTTACGACAGCCATCAGCACCGTCGCCAGACTGGACGGGAACAGCTACGAACGACACGATGCCGGCTGAAGGCAGGAGACACGAATCAAACATGACTTTGCAACGAATCACCGACGAGTGACCCATAGAAACTTGTTTGCCTGATCTATCGCTGCTACCAGCTTATAGCTGCTACCAGTTGCTGACGCTGGGGGTGCCTGTATACATGTGTGCATCTGTTCAGACCATTTGTACGACGATGTCCGCCGGCCCTGCCATTTTGTCAGTTTTTCTTTCATGCTCGTTCCGACGTCAAATCTGTATCTACCCGTCCATTTACTGGCGTAAGTAAAAAAGCGCCGACTTTGCGGGTTTACCGGAGTGCCAGCCGTCACAAACGACGGAAGCTAATTGTAAGTAAAACAACGATCTGGGGGGCGCAACTATCTGTTGCCTGCCCCATCATGACTGACCACTATCACATTCACAGCCAGCGGCTTAGCTACCGTTGAAAGCCATCGTTGTATTGCTACCAGTATGAAACTCTTCATGTCCCAACCAAGGATTACCGTCTTTCGCTGTTTGCTTCAGTGTAACGACAACGTTAAACGAGTCACCATTGCTGGTCCTTTTACTTACGCTCACTGCTTCTGACGTTGGCTCGACGACTGATACTGAAGGGGGCAGAAACGACGACGGCGGCCACCACCGCCTCGGCAATCGTAGCACTCGTGGACGAAATGAGCAAACCCGAATGCAATTAACCCACCTAATTAATCTTCTTTCTAATTGAAATGAATCACACACACACACGCATCCACGCCCGACAACTAGCACAGTCAATACCAGACGGATTAAACAGATCTACGTAGATGGGATACCATAGAGGTGGCCAGAGAGGGCGAGCAGAAGTTGCTTGCGGCTGTACGACGCCGGCAAATAAGTCATACCACCGAATACTAGCACAAATACAGACAAATAGATAAAGAAAACATAGAACAAGTCGCGTAAAAGTACCAAAAAACAATTCTCTTCTTATGCCGCCCAACCGGTGCTGTTCTGTTTATGCGGCGCTTCTTAGATCTACCCAGTTCGTTCTGTGCAGCAGAAGTATCAGCGTTCATTTTTTCCATGGTGGGTTTGTGCATTTGTTGCTATACATCGACTGGTTGTGCGATTCAACGGCTAGAGGCTTCTACTTTAGTAGCTTTGCGATAGTGTAGTCATGGCTGTTACGCGCGCTCATGGTAACACTTAGAGAGATGTGGAATTGTCGAGGGTTCAGATCGAACGTAAATACATCGGTTCGTGCTGGGAACAGCCAGCCATTTAAAGCAGTGCTTAACCAAGGCAGTGTGGTACGTAAGATTCCAAACGTTAGCTTATCTGCCTTGTTTATATGTCGGCCGCGTCAAGGACATAGAGACGCACGCACTTATATCGCATGCGCACAGACAATTGGAATACGCCTAAGAGTGACGTAAGAAAACCACCGGAACCGACAGCGAGAAACAGATCAAGATGGTCGTCGTTTAATGGAACGACTTCGCTTTGAAGCTCGTAGGTATTCTTTGGGGTTCACGAGTTTATTATTGGTGCTAGGGAACGAGAGTATCATCCAAGACCGTTACATATATCGCTACCGAAATCGGCAGTTGGTACTGGATTCGGACGTGAGATGCACTGGCGTGTTCAATGGTAGCGCTAAGAAGGACTCCGCATACCGAAATCGTATAAATATCGATTATATCTCTAAAAACGATGGCGTCAGTAGAAAGGGCAACAGTGAGCGGTAGTTACTAAACACAGCAGGATTTCGGTTCGTTCCTGCGAAACATCGGTGAAGCCAAAGGAGACTTGCCTACAGCTCTGCTGCCGGCCGTTTCACAACATGACATTAGCTGCTATACTAGGATATTCTTTCAAAGGCATCCACGAAAAAAACGAACCACCAGCGACATCTACACAAAACTTCTAGGACTACATCAGGTGGCGCTCATGTGAAGGAAGACCTAGGAGCGAGTAAACCTCAAAAGTGAGGATCGGACTTTGAGACTTCTGCTGGTCCGTGATCTGTAGGGCAGGATCGATTAGCCGCTTCCTCTTCGATTCGCTGAGGCCGATATCCGTGGGTTCGTCAATTGGTTAGCGATTTTCGTTCTTCGTCCGTATTTCGATTTTTCTCTTTTTTGCGTCTGCTATTGCTAAAAGCGTCACTGCCCCCGAGTTCACTGACTGACCTTACTCAGGCTGACTTCACTGTTGCCTCCGAGTGGCAACGCACGGACGATATATATATATAGAACTGTAAGTGATTCGGCAGTGGCTACAAATAGGTGCTAAATCTTAAACGAATTCAAAGAATAGTTCGGTCCTACTGCAGATAGTGTGCAAGTACAGCTAACTTTTTTAACTACTCAATAGGCTTCGAAGTCGATTGCAGGAGGCTTTAAAAGTGATAGTTTGTTCAGGAGCACGTGATGCTCGGCCTATGTGGGTTTTGTTGCAGGCAAGGACGCTAAATGGCTTCAATAAGCACATGGCAAACGACGACGACGACGACGACGACGACAACTAGAACTTTACAGGAAAAAACGTGACAAAAAAATTCAGACTGTATCACATAGGAGATTTGATTGTGGCAACTGCCACGTTTCGCCTGGAGATTTTAGAAAAAAAATCGAAACATTGTTTATATTTTTTAAGGGGAGAATAGAAACATTGTGGTAGGAAATTCCCAAATCGAACAGAGTAAAGATACACGAAACTTCTTTGTCTTCTGTTTACACAGTAAATACTACGTAATTATACACATTTTCCTATTGCA